AGAAAAGCCCTATAAATAACTTTTTTAAGAATTCAAGTGGAAATGCTGAAGATGTAGGATTACTAAACTTTAAAATTGAATTTCTAATTTCTGGCATCTGATGGGTTTAGACGTATGTCATAGCCAACTTCATTCAGCTTCCTCTTACTTTTATTTTGTTTTTGTCACTTGCTTTTAAATATTTCACATTGTCATAACAGTAGATTAATTAACAAAGGTGAAATATGATTTGAACATGGTTGCAAATTTACCACAGATGACTCAGAAATTTGTGCATTTTCTATACATTTTTACCTTAGTAAATTATTTTATCTTTTAATTAAAACTGCATTCTTTAAGTAAAAATTATAGTCATTACAATGAAAGACTAATACAATGAGTGTGTTTTGTAAAAGATCACTTTTGTGTTTATTTATTTTTATTTAAATTCCTAGAAGTCTCACCTTCATATTTCTTGTGACATATAGTCTATAGTATAAATTCCTGGTTCAGATATTAGCTTTTTATTATTTAGTTTGTATTGATTAAATCCCTTTTAATGTTTTAAAAATAATTGTAAAACATTTTGTATAAAGATGAGATAAATTCTTTTCAGTTGCAGCCATTATGGAGTTAGTAGGTTGTATTCTGTGTCTAGTTTTATCAAGACTATATACTTTTCTAATTTTATGAATCCAAAGAGCTTTACTATGAGCAGTCTTTCAAACACTAGGTAATGGAAGCAATGATAGACGTCATATCATCGTGATGTGATTCAAGTATTAATGAGCCATCTTGAGAACTCTAGGTACTGAGGATACTAGGAGAGGAAACCCAAACAAAATAATCCCACCTTTTAAATGTGGGGTGGTTGTAAAAGATAGTGGCGTGTACAAAGACAGACTGTTGTTTAAGATCATATTTTGCACCTGCATGATGGAGGTACAGCACTGTTAATCGTCTAAAAATGAGACACTGCAATTGACAATCATACCAAGTCAGTATGAATTCAACTGAAAAACAATGATTACTGAATCTAACCATTAATAGTCATTCAAAGTAGATTCAAGGATATATATATATATATATATATATATATATATATATATATATATATATAAAGAAAGAACAGTAAGATATATAATCCGGAGTTCTTATAGGTATTTTTATTTTTTACAAAATAGTGCTCAATGTAAATTTACAGAGCATTAATATTATAAATTAACTTATTTAAAATATGTTTTTTTTTTTTCACTACACAGTTTTAACCATATTTCAAAAAACTGTAGTTAAAAGGAATTCTAACGTAAACATCTTTTAAAATTGTAGTTAAATAAAATGAATTCTAACCTAAACACCTCACTCAAAGTACTACAAGCACTTAAAAGAATCCAATAAAACACCTACAGTAAAATGAAATTAAGATGAAAAGCTAGAAGATGTAGGCCATTAAATGACCCACGTCCTTTGTACTTACATGAGAAACTATATATTACTCAGTTTATAAAAAATAAAAGTTTACTAAATCAGAGAAATGAATTAGCTCTTTTTGCTATCATTATCATAAATTTTACTTAAATAATATTTAAATATAAATTTTAAAAATTGTGACCTGGTAATATACATACTTATACTTGATGTGAAAATAATTTTACATACTGTAATTAATTCTAATACATTTACTTGTTTTAAAAAGAAATATAGTATATTAAAAACTAAAAGTGAAAATATTCTTTAAAATCGTAGTTAAATAAAATGTACTCTAACCCAAACACCCCCCAAAAATCTTTCAGTATACAAATAGAAAAAAATGCCATAAGAATTTTTGCCGTTAACAATAAAAAATTTTTTTTTTAAATCCAGACGACATGCATTTAATGGATGTCAGAATTTCTACCTAAACAAAAAACCTTCTGCAAACGTAACTAATAACTGATACGACAAAATACAGTGATAATGAACACACAACCACTCCTTGTATGGATGAATGGATTTCTCTGTATCCTTGGAAACGTGAATTATGAATTTTTGCAGTGCCTTTAAAACCCAGTAATTTCAAAAATAAGTTACTCTAAAATTTGCTTGAGGATGAAATGGAACTAATGTCTTTAATTTAATTACAAAATTAAATTCGAAGCTTTTAGCTTCCATTTTTGAAAAATGGTTAAAACTGTGTAGCAAAAAAAAAAACATTTTAAATAAGTTAATTTATAATATATATATATATATATATATATATATATATATATGTGTGTGTGTGTGTGTGTTATGAAATGGACAAAGTCCGACAATTATTTTAAGACATTTTTTATGTTTATACGTTCTTTTTATAGATACAAATATTTAAGTAAATGGTCTGTTTATAATAAACAGTATTAATGAAACACTCCTCTATGGCTAAATTAGGAAAGCATGTCAGGCTATATGACAGTTCTGTATAGGATACAGGTTTGATTCCTGTCAGAGGATGCATATTTTCTATGAAAATTTCTTGGACATTCAGGCCGGTAAATGTTGTTAATACTGTTTATTATAAACAGAGCATTTGCTTAAATATTTGTGTCTATAAAAAGAAGGTATAAACATAAAAAATGTCTTAATATATATATATATATATATGGTGAGACTGTCTCATCATATTCGACATATGAGGGTCAGCAACTCAGTTACTAGGAACTGACAGCCAGACACCAGCACATATGATATGATTATAATGGTGAAGATTTTGTGCAGAACCAACCACACTTTTTGAAGGGCTGAATACAGAGACCTGGTGCACTACATGCCACAATTTCCCCAAACGACACTCTGCAGGTTTTGAATTCAGAGTTGTCCTTCTCCTAGACCAGTTGCCATCCAATGCTATAAAGCCTAGTCTGTCCTTCTATTTACCCATAGATGCGGGGAGAAGAAGAGGATTCATACCTTTCTCAAGGGTATTAGCACGTAAGTGAATGTAACTGGAATTTGAATTCTGCTCTCTGAACCCTCACTCCAAGCTACTAACCACTTCTCCACCATGCCTCCTATATATATATATATATATATATATATATATATATGAGGAACAAGTAAAGAAATTTTTTTAAATTTGTAGATGATATATATAACTCAGTACTTACTTCTAACATTCATTATATTTATCATACAATTAAAATACATTAATAATCCCAGTTTTTAATATGCTCTGAAATTATGCTTACATTTCAATAGTTATACATTTTGCATAGGCAAAAATGCATATTTTCAAGAAATTAAATTTTCAAAAACATTTTATTGAATTAGAATATTAACAAATAACATCTTCAATATGATTTCCATTATGTGTGATACAACGGTTTATGCACAAGATTCATGTGAACTCAATGCAATAACTCCACAATATGATTTCCATTATGTGTGATACAACGGTTTATGCACAAGATTCATGTGAACTCAATGCAATAACTCCACAATATGATTTCCATTATGTGTGATACAACGGTTTATGCACAAGATTCATGTGAACTCAATGCAATTCCACATTGCCATCAATTTTAGCACATTCACTCTTTATGCATTCAATCAAGTGTGTTGCATCTGTGATTTTCATTGAGTACACCTTCTTCTTTCAACAAAACCATGTTTAATATGTGGAGATAAAAAAAACAATAATTAATATTTCCTGTGCGCCCAGATTTTAGGGACACTCTGGACATGAACAAAGATGCCGTTAGGTATGCACAGGGCATCTACATAACCAGGAAAGCCATAAAATTATAAAAAGGATACATACAGTAATGCCATAAGATATATATACATGTCACATGTCACAGGTAATGACAAGAAAATAATATAGAATTCAAAATTGAATCATAACACCATATTATCCCTCTTCTAAAATTTCTGATGAAGCTAAATAAATACCAAAATATGTTGAATTTATAAATATTTTCCTACTTCTTTAATCATTCTGCTGGAATTAATCCATATTTTCAACATTATATATATATCTGTGTAAAGTGAGATGCTGGAAAATTAGACAGAGCAAGAGTACACTGGATGTCCCTTTCTAGAAACTGACTTATACATATGATGTATAATAGGTAAATGGATTGTGTAGCTGTGATACCTATAGGATACCAACAGAATTTAACATCAGTTGATCATTAATGATTGCTGTGTCCAAAAAGAAGGAGCACTCTATCTTCAAAATGGCAACTACTTAAAGTTCCTCTCAGACAAATGTAGTAAGAATAGATCTTGATTAAAGGAATTCAAGACTAATATCATTGGAACATGAAAACTGGAGGTGCATACATATAATGTAAGAATGGGACCAATTGCAAATGGCAAGAATATAGCCACCCAATGAAAAGAAACCTTACATCAAATCACATCCAAATTTAATGTGAATGTAGCTTAGCCCATCAGTTAATATGCTGGATTGCATACAGTGGAGTTTTGTTGTCCTTGACCAACAAGGATATGATTATTAACAGTACTATATATATATATATATATATTGGGTGTATTTGGGCAGCAGTTTTTCATTTATACACATTTAATTAAAAAACAATGACAGTTCCTTGTACATTATTTTTTATTTACTTTCAAAATGTTTCTGATAATTTTTCTGATTCATATTTGTAACTATATCTTCCCATCTCTAAATTTCTCCCTTTTTATAATTTCAGCATGTTTGTTTTGAATGAGGTTATAATGTGTTGTCTATTTTAGTTTTTTAATTTATCCTTGGTTAATTCTCTATGGCTTATCAACCCATTGCAGGTTATTTAAAGCCAAGAAATATTTTTTTGTTTGTAAGAATTTTCTGTGGGGAGATAATAATGGAGATAGTAATGATTTAGTGATTCAAGTTGTATTAATTAACCCATAGCTGGGAGAGAAGATGTGGATTCATACTTTACCCAAGAGTATTTGTGGGTAAGTGAAAATAATGAACCTGATAAGAATTGAAACTTAGGTCGCTGATTAAGAATTCCAAGCGATTACACCACTACACCACCCATACATCCAAACTTGCAGCACCTGGTATTTCCAAGCTGTCACCCATCTGGGTACTGACCAGGTTCAATGTTGCTTAACTTTGGTAATCATACAGGAACCAGTGTTTCAACGTGATGTAGCCATAATCCTAATATGTATTTGACTTTCTTAAATGGCCCTTTGTAAACTGAACTGTCTCAGTATGCAATATTTTTTCAGAAGTGTTAGTTTCCTTGCTCAACAAGATTACAAGCCATGATAGCTGAATGTATTGCTGGCACTGTTGTCCCTGATGCCTGGAGATCTTCTTCCAAATCTTTGCAAGTAATCCTTGGCTGCTTCTTTAACATTTTTATAACATGAGTGGAAATCTCTCAAGGGGAAACAGATAGAAGACAGTTGACTTTTCTTTCCCTTGTGAAATACTGAATCATTGCTGCAAGCTATCTATGGTATCTCTGATGTCTACAGAATGTTCTTTAGATAAATATTTACTATATGTATCACTAAATAATGCAATAACCTGCTTTTTATGGTAAGCATTGGATACTTATTATCCTAGTGTATATATACACCCCTACCCATTTTCTGCATGTGTGTGCACACAGGAATAAGCTAATATTGCATGGTGACAATCAGTTTTGTGCAACAAACAATCTTTATACTATGCCATGATATAAATGTATATCTACAATCATTCTATCTCCAGTATTAAACCTATGGTAAATTCACACTGAAAAAAACCTATTCCCATTTGATCACCAAAGTTAAGCTGCTTCAATTCCAGTCAGTACTTAGGTGGGGGACTGTAAGTAGCCTTCTACCATCTGAAATATGTTTTGGCTTTAAATAACACACAAAGGGTTGATAGATTGATAAAAAATAATCAATCAACAATCGCCAATATTGTCTTCATCATAAATATAGCAAATTTCAAAAAATATATATATATATATAGAGAGAGAGAGAGAGAAAGAAAGAAAGAAATCTATCTATCTAAATAGATAGATAGATGTGCTCTTCAAAAACTTGGTTTGATTTTGTCTTGAATACTCTCCAATACTGAACATTTTTTCACATAAATACACTAAATTTTAACATATATATATATATATATATATATATATATATATATATGTGTGTGTGTCTATGTATGCTAATGCCCATAAGTGGTGAAAGAGGAGAGAAATTACTTGAAAGGATAGGATAAATCAAAGCTTAATTCAAGTTCAAGTCTTCCACTTTACTTTCAAATTGAAAACAATAAAGATTTTGTTTCCAGCTAATCCTAGCCTAGAGGAAGACCCATTCATATTAAGAATGGGATTAACTTCAAGTCAAACACCACAATCCTTCCTCACTGATAATCACTGAGTAATCTCATTCATGAATGTCAATGTCAGAATGTAGTTACTCCACATCCATTTCTAAATAACAATAAAATCACAATAAATCTGACCCAGTTCAGCCTTAAAAAAAGATACACAATAAAAGCAATAACAATAGATTTATTTAGATTTTCAGCAACTTGAACAAATTGACTGGCTGTAAATTTCCTGATCATTTGAGGATGAAAACATTGGGATTATTTTAAATGCCAGATGACTTGTGGCTTTCCTAATCTCCAAATACATAACAAATAAATAGATATTAACAATTCTCTCATTTATATCATCATCATAGGATGATGATAGTTCTTTTCAAGAATGAATAGTTTGTCTGAATGGACCTTTTAGCAAGAGGGACACCTCAAGATGTGATCTATGAATTTGAGAGGTCAGAATCAAGCGAATATAGACATTTTACTGTCTTGGTACTTGAGTAACAGGCAATGGAAAATATGACACTGAAATCCTAAGACACATGATTAGCAAAATATGTCATCCAAAAGCTAAAAAAAAGTATTAAGAAACAGGAAAATTTCATTAGAAACAAGCTGAACTGTTTTGTACTATTCCTCCTTATATGGCAGTGAATGTTGAACAGCTTTCTCTCAGATAAAGAAGAGACTTGAGGCAACAAAGATATAGTTCTATCAAATGATGTTCCTGAGAATACCATGGATGGAACATGTGAGCAGTGAGGAAGTTTTAAAGAAAATAGGAAGAGAAAGGACACTTAATTAGAATCAGAGAGACAGTTGAAATCTTTTGAACACATAATGACAAAAAACAGCTTGGATAACTTAATATTCACAGGACATATTGAGCACAAGGAAACAAAGAGTAACCTACTTAACGAGCTGTGTAAATAGATGGCAGAACAGGGACTAGGAGACAACAAACATTGCTGAGAATTACAAAAGATAGTAAGTTGTAGAGAGCCATGATTGTTCATGTTCTGAATGGACTTTTCACATAAAAGAGGGTGAAAGTGTTGCACAGGTCCAGACCCACCTTCTTCATAAGGTGAGGCCTGACAGAACCTAGTGGAGAATCAGTTATAATGAATGGGTAGGCTAAACTTTAAAAAAAATGGAATATTTTTCTTATGCTTAACAGCACATGTACACTCAAAAACCTAGTTCAATTTTCTTCTTTTATTGTTTTTGATCATTTCACTCCAAGCAATGAACACAGTGGGTTGCAGAGAGTAAAAGTGAATGAGAATAAGAAGATTGAAAATAGGGAGGACTGAGGAAAGTGCCTAAAAGAAAAAAACAGAAGGGAGTTCCACAAGTGGAAGTGCAAGAAAAAAAAGCTGTTAGAGTAGAAATGATGATTGTATCTATCTAATTCAATAGTAAAATTATGAGACCTTGTTGCTCATCTAGTAGCATACTTAAATTCATGGAGTTGCTGCATTAGGAAAAAAAACTTGTCTGAGCAGATATCATGAAAATATGCAGACAGAGGAAAGCCATGTCACATCAATAAGAAAGTGACTGGAGACAAGATGATCGATTGTATTGTAGACTCTTCTGTGGATTTTGTCAAGAATCTCAAAATGCACAGTAGGAGCACCAGATCAGATATAGCAACAGTATTCAATACACAGACGAATGGTAGAGTTATAAATGTGTAAAATGGATTCTGATGAGAAAAATTCTTTTCTCCGAGACTTGGCTGCTAACCAAGGCCAGGAATCCCAGTTGTCCTTACTATTTAACCCATAGATGAAAGAAAATGGATCCATGTCTTTCTCAAGGTACTATTATGTTGTGATTAAAACTGACTCAACCAGAATTTGAACTTGGTTTACTGATTTCACTTCCCACAACAATAGGAAATGGATTTACACACATTTTCCAATTGGTCGGAAATAGTTTCTTGCTTTTGTTAACACTATATAACCGACTACAATCTCTTACACTTCATTTAAAGATGGGAAAAATACTATCATGTAAGGATCCAGCATGGTACCCTAAATAGCACTAGATTATAAGTTAATTTAAGTTAATTTCATTTTAAACCATTAATGAAGATGGTCCCAATTTTGTCCCAACCACCCACATTCCCCCCATATTCCACTGGTGAGAAGTAAGTTCCACTTGAACAACTTCTTCCTGCAAACCACTGATCTATGGAACTGACTCCCAAGAGGCTGTATCCCAATCACTACAATCTTAACCTTTTCAAGTCTAGGGTTAACCTCTATCTTCCCCACATATCTGCATAAACTGTGCCTCTGACTTTGTAACTTTCTACTTTGTGTGGCTCACGGACCTTATACAGAGTTAACCTCACTGTAAAAAAAATTCAAGATATTTTATCTGCCTATAATACTGGAGGATTTATAATACTTTGCTGGTTTGGTTTCTAGTTACCGGCATTGCTTTAATGAAACAAAATATCAATACATTATATTAACTCATCAGCAAAAGATTCCAGCATTTTTTATGAAATCTTTTATTTATATAAATTCATAGCATTGTTATTCAGTCATAATAGTATTCTTCCTTACCTTTCAGATAAATTACATAGTCTATCAAAGTGCAAAAAGCAGATGCATTAGGCTAGCATAGATTTTTAAATTGACTCGCTAATTTGACTTTCTGTGATGATATCCATTAAACTACCTGCACATCTTAATGGTTTATAGAGAGAAAACTATAATTAATTGATTGATTTACTGATTGATTAAATGACCACAATTGGGATCAGAGAGATATTAGATGCATACAATGTGCTTTGCCAGGGTTGGATACAGTTTAGACTTGTTGCCAGCCCAGTCTGCTCTACGATCAAACCCATAGCTGGGGCTCAAAGTCATGCCTTTCCCAGAGTATTTGTGTGAAAGTGAATGTAATGAAACTTCACTAGAATTCAAATTTAGCTCTCTGATTTTTCATTCCAAGCCATTATCCATAACACCATCTACACATCAATATTACTGGATATATTAATAAATATAGGATTTTTATAAACATAGAATTAATACTGTATCTCTTTAGAAGCCTATAATAACAGATTTTTATGTTAATTTTTTATTATTTCATTTTTTTTTTTTTTTTTGGTATCCACCAAGAATTTGAACATAAATTGAAAAAAAAATATGTATACAATGATAAAACATCACAAACAGGCACATGAAGATGTGATATATGAAAAAAAATAACATGATACCCACTGATGTTTGAAAAGACAATACTCAAAACTACCAAAGAAAACTATGCATGCACATAGACACAAACATATCAGCACAAAAATAAACTGAATTATGAAAGCCAAAGGCAATAAGAATATATTGGTCAATTTATGTTCAAATTATATCTGGAAACCAGAAAAATGGTTCAAACCAAATAAATAAATATATATATATATATATATATATATATATATATATGTATAAAGAATTAATGAATTTTAATTTTTAATACATTTTTATTACTTTAAACATTATTTTTAATGTATACCCATATTTGAGTAGATGCTCCATTTATTTTGAACAGTATTTTTTTCATCTCCTTCTCTGAATACTTGAAAATATATAGATATGGACATTTGAGTAGATCTGAAGGACATGCATTCCTTATAATGACTATTGAACCTTTCTGGACTGTAGAGCTCACTGTGGCCAAATGCTGGATCAGATGATGCTTTCTCCAATAAAATGGGATGCTTGTTCAAACCCTGTCATAGGGCATGTTTTCTTTATTGAAATTATTGAATGCACAGACTGGTAGATATAATTAACACTGTT